AGACTGTCCCCGACGATAAATCGGGTCGGGCTGCGTCGGCCGACGCTGTCTGAGTTGGCCTTAAGGTTTTACTTTTGCTCTCGGCTTGAAATTTGTGTTGGTGATGGTGGATTACCTCCATGAGCGCTTGGAAATTAAATTTTATTAGAGGCATAATCTTCTTTATAGTTGTTGTAATCTATTTTCTAGAGTGTTTTAGCGGGTTGCGTATTGCACAGTTATTGCTTTTACGTTAAAATAACTACAGTGTGAATTGGTATTTTTGTTAAATTTCCATGACAGTGCCTTGACCTACGTAAAATGGCTAGATTTCAAGTCACCGTGGAACTCGTGATTCTAATAATATCACTTGCGTTCACTTTATTGAGAACGCTTGCAGTACTATTCACTGAGTACGTAATACAGTTGGAACTAAATGCAGGGTGTTTACCTAATATTACTATGGCAACATGTTATACTGTGAAAGAAGTACAAGTACTTGTATCCAACTGGACCACCATATTTGTGGCTTGCCAATCTCTTCCAGCTTTATTTGTTGCTCTATACGTCTCCACTTGGAGCGACCGAGTCGGAAGAAAGATCACAATGGTATTACCTACCATTGGCTATATTATTGCGACGATCAATTGCATTATGACTTATGTTTATGCATTACCAATCGAGTACCTATTACCAGGAAATCTAGCGATAGGTTTTTCGGGGAGCGTTTCTCTTGTACGTTCTGGTTCATCTTCCTATGTTAGTGACACTGTTAGACGAGACGATTTGACATTTCGATTGTCAGTTCTCCAAGGTGTCGCAGTGTTAGGCCTAGCGTTAGGCCAGTTGGGATTCTCATTGTGGATTGAGTATTCAAGCTTTTTGCCAACATTTGTGTTCATTGGAGTGATGCTACTTCTTTGTCTTCTATATATCGTGTTTTATATCAAGGAAACCGTTGTTAGAAATCAATCAACGACGAGTACGATTGGACAAGTTTTGTCAGATATGATACAGGTCGTCGTAAGAAACACTAACAACAGACGATCGAGGTTGATTTTCTGGTTATTTGTCCGTTGTTTGACGTCGTTTATGATGAATGGAAGCGGAATTGCAGCGATGCTCTATTTTATTGGGCCACCTCTACTATGGTCAACCTCTGAAATTGGATACTTTACATTTGGCAATCTAATGTCTATAACTCTAGGTAAGATAGAGTATATGTATTTGTTTATGCTATATATTCTACTGTATGTCTACTGTCAAAAAAAATTAGTAGTTTTTATTATTTACGTAACAGTATATCTGTATTATGTACTAATAAGCATTTGATGATTCACTTTCATCCACCGAACCAAATGTTCAATATCAAATTCTACCTGCTCATTATACTTGATTCATCATTACAATTTTACAACTTGATATTATCGCACTGAACATTATTAAAGCCTAGGTGCCAGTATGTCATTTATAAGAGTAACAA